GCCCTCCGGCAGCCCCTGCAAGGGGACGGGGAGACGGCCCCCCCCCCCCGGAAGGACTCGGCTTGAGATGGACTCCTGCGCCGCATCTGTCCCCGATTAGCAGGGCTCGGTGACCTCATCGCCTGCCAGGAATCCCTTATAAAGCAGGGACTGTTTACATCTCCGGCGCGGTGTTTAAAGCCCCGGCTGACTCAGAAGGGCAGCGAGCGGGGGCCGAGCGGAGCAGGGGTTGCGTGCCAGGACCGGGGCGGGGGCTGCTCCTTCCCTGGTGCTCCTGGGGGGACGGGTGCTTGGGGCATGGTAAGAGCCTCCCCTGGCACCTACCAGCTGGGGACCCTCCTGCCTGGGTGATAGCTGGAGTCCAGCTCAGCCACTGCTTTGCTCAAGCGACATCCCCGTGTATGTCCGTGCACCATTACCCCCCCCAAGGTCATGCAGGGAAGTCTCCGCTAGCCCCCATCCCCGCCCAGAGCATCTTGCAGGCTGGGCCGAGAGCGGGGAGACCCTCCGAGCCCCACAACGCCCCTGCCCAGCCCTCCGGCAGCAGGAGAGCATCCCTTGGCCAAACCCCCAGAGTGCCTTGCAGCGGTCATTTGCAGCTGGCGTTGAGGCCAGGGCGATGAATCAGGCCGGGGTCGAGCGAGGCCGCGGGGGCCGAGGCTAAACCGCCGCTGTGCTCCAGTGGTTGCTGATGGCAGGCGATGCCCGGCCAGGTTATGGCACCCGGCAGGTTTATCTTGGCCCCCGGGCCCGTGCTGTCATGTGGGTTGGAAGGGGCCGCGTGCTTGGAGCTGAGCCACGCCAGCGCTGGGAGCTGCCAGCGGGCCCGGCTTCCCGCCCCGCTCCCTCCCCGGCCGGCCCACGCTCGGCTCCGCCGAGGCTGCGAGGCTTGTTCGGGGCAGACGCTTGGAAGGGCATCAGCTCCTCCGCACGTGTGCAAGCATGGGAGGGCACCGTGGCGAACCCAGAAGCGGTGCCGGCAGGGCCAGGGGGTCGGGAGGAAACTTCGGGTCCCCGGGATAGGGGTGCCAAGCTCTTGTCCAGTGCCCCAGCGTAGGTGCCCGAGAGCTCTCCTTCGACCCAGCTCGGGGGGTCTCGTAACCAGTCTGTTGGATCGGGACCGTCTCGGGTGCCAAGTACCAGGCTGGCTCTGGCTGGGCATGCAGGCAACAGGTCAACCCCTGCGCCCCCAGCCCTGCCCGGCTCCGGAGCCACGTGCCTCCGGGCAGGCTTAGCTCCTGGGAGCTATTTGCAGAGCAGAGCTGCCTGCGTGTGGGCTCGTGGGCTGGGGAGATGAGCGATCCCTGCAGCCCCCTCGATTATCGCCACCCTCCGCACCGAAGCAACCGTGCGATGGGGTCGGAGCTGTCCGGGGGACCGGCCCCGTCACATCCTCGCCGGGGTCGGGGCAGGTTGCGCTCCGCAGAGGTCGTTCTGCATCCCCCAACGGCCGGGGCAAGCGGCTCCGAGCCGTCCAGCCCTACTCCCGGGCGATGGGGGTGTTGGTATGTGCTTCGGCTTAGCGCTCCCGGGCCGGCAAAGCACTTAAGCCTGGGCTTACCGGCCTGCCTCTGCCCCCAGCGAAGCCCGTCGCTGGGCCTGTGTTGACTTCAGTGGCAGCGGGATCAGAGCCTAAGTGCTTTGCTGGACCGGCGCCACGGCGCGAGGCGGGGACCCCGCGTGGGGCCTTCAGCAGTTGGCGCAGGCTCGGGGCTCGGTGCCGGACCCCTGTCCTGGGGGTGCCAGGCATCGGCTGTGCCCTCATCTCCCGTGGCATGTTGTGGCTTCCTTGGTATTGCTTGTGTTGTCCCTTGTGGCTGCGTGGGAGGATTTGGGGGAAGCCCTCGGTAAATAGTTACCTGCAAACACGGAGGAGACCCCGTCAGTCCTGTGTCCTATGCCACGAGGGAGAGAGTCAGTGCCCACCACGTTAGGGTACTGTCCCTGAGCGTGGTTCAGTGGCTCCAGTGCCTATTGCATTGCTCACGCTGAGGCATGCCAAGCCGCATCCGTCTGCAACGGCACATGCAGCAATCTCTCCTCTTGCCCCCGCGTTGCAACCGGACCGAGCAGCAATTTGATGCTGCAGAGAAAAGCCGCCCGCATTTTGGGGCCACAGGCGACAGGAATGCAAGGAACAGGGTGGAATCAGAGCAGCAACGTCCCCACTCCTGTAATAAGTGCCATAAGACCATGACACCACCGCTACACACGCTTGCAGCTAACTTGGGCACCCGTCTATAGTGTATGAATAAGTCCAGCCATTGCCCGTGCCAGGAGATTTCGGTGATCAAGGTGTTGCTTTGATGCCATCCCGACTCTTCTGTGCAGATTCAGCGGCTTTTCTGCTAATGCTAGCCTCGGTTTTCCTCGGCATGGGAGAAGGATGGCATGGCACTAAGATGTCCTTGCTAGGAGCACTGCGTGCCGTGCAGGGGACCGATGGCAGTGGGAGGAAGTCTGCAGGCTGCATCCCCTGGCACGAGGCGGGCGTGCAGCTCTCCCGTCCCTCTCGCACATGTGTGTGGCATGCGGGTGCCGGCATTATCTCAGATCAGTCCTGCTTGGTTTAGCTTGAGTTCGAGGCCAAACCCACACTCTGCTCAGGGCTTCAGCCTCGGTGGTAAGCCACGTCCTGGGCGGTCCCGTGCCAGTCACCGCTGTGTAATCGGAGCGCGTGCATGCCCCTCGCCCCGGCTTCACCCTGCCGGGGTGGCAGCAGCCTTAGTCTGGCAGGGGCTGCCATGGTCTCAGGCTGCACGGAGCTTGTGGGGCCAAGTTCAGCTTTGGTGTAACACCACCAACTTCAGCAAAGCAGCAGTTCCCGTCCAGCTGGGCTGGGGAGCCGGGCGTTGAAGCCCAGTTGCAGCAAGGTTCCCCTCGGTTAAAGCCCTGGCTGAATACAATCCTTCTCTGTGGGTTTGCTCATCCACTTCTGTCCTG